TGCTCCTTCCGGCGGGAGGACGGCCCAGGCCACGGAGAGGCCCGCGTGCGCCTGCGGGTGGCCGGTGAGTACCGCGTGCCCTTCTCCCTGACTCCCGGGAGGTGTGCGTCTCTTTTTAAATATATGTTTATTGATTTCAGAGAGGAAGGGAGAGGGAGAGAGAGATGGAAAGGTCAATGATGAGAGAGTCATTGATCAGCCCACAACCCGGGCGGGTGCCCTGACCTGGAAGGAACCCTGACCTCCTGGTTCATAGGTTGATGCTCAACCGCTGAGCCAGGCCCGCCGGGCTGGCGCCCCTTTCCAAGGAGGTTATGAAAAGCCGTGTTGACCCTCAGTTTCCTTGTGTGATGCAGTGTGGAGAGGAGCCTCTACCCTCCTCCCCCCTCCCCGAGTGCTTCCCTTTCCCAATCTATGCCGCCCTGTGGGTCTAAGGCTCCCAGAGGATGTCCCCTGAAGGAGTAAGACCAGCTGCTCTCTCCACAGCGCTGGGCTCTGATCCTCACATCCACATGGACCTTCAAGACAACGGGGAGACCCGGCTGGAGTGCACCTCGCTGGGGTGGTACCCGGAGCCCCAGGTGCAGTGGAGGACACCCACGGGAGAGAAGTTCTCCTCCACGTCAGAGGCCAGGGATCCCGACCAAGAAGGCCTGTTCACCGTGGTGGCTTCCGTGACCATCAGGGACCCCTCCATGAAGAACGTGTCCTGCTGCATCCAGAACCTCCTCCTCGGCCAGGAGAAGGAAGTAGACATTTTCATACCAGGTCAGTGAGCCCAACACTGGGTTCCTCTGTGAAGCGTGATCTCCTGGCAGAGCAGTCTACTTTCTCCACCTAAAATCCCACCCACTCTCATGAGGGAGCCCCACCAACTTCACTCAGAGTAAAGATTTTAGCCCCAAGATTCAGTGGATGAGCGTTGTTGACCCATGAACCAGGAGGTTGAGGTTGGATTATCGGTCAGAACACATGCCCGGGTTTCAGGCTCGATCCCCAGTGTGGGGTGTGCAGGAGGCAGCCGATAGATGATTCTCTCTCATCATTGATCTCTCTCTCTCCCTCTCTCTCTTTTCATTTCTGAAATCAATAAAAATATTTTTTAAATATTCTGAAGGCATAAACTGTACCAAGACCTTGTAGAAAATCCAGGTTTTCTTAGGAGATGCACCTTGGATAGAGAAGCTTTGTCCCTGCAGGCCTTCCTGATCCCGAGACCCACTCCTTGAGCAAGCAAGAAGACTAAGCCCTCCTGTTTCCACCCCTCTCTCCTCCATCCCAGGCGAGAGCTCTGTCCAGGGTCCTCAGGAAAGTGAATCTTCTCATTGTCCCCCACACACGGCTTCTGGTCCAGGCAGGAACTGTTCCTTCTCCCTGGGTCACTGAGTCTGTGCTGTTGCACCCAGAGGTGACGCTTCCCCTTCCTGGGTTACTTCCCTGTGCCCTTGGCTCAGGTCCTCCATTGATCATTAAGGAGGAATTTCCATAACAACATGAATTCATCCATTTTTTTCTTGTTCTGTCCCAAAATGACTCTTATTCATCTTCATTCCTTTCTCTGCTTTTTCCTACCTAAGATCTTTTTTTCCCTGAAAAGCCTGGGTGGCATTGGAGGGACTGTTTTCACCCTGGAAGGAATGGGAGGGAGAGGTCCAGGTCATGCCCTCTTCCGAGTCCCTTTGGAACCAGAAGAGGAGCTGGACTTGCTCAATGTTTCGCAACAAATGTCCTTTGTTTCAGCTCCTTTCTTCCCAAGGCTGACTCCCTGGGTGGTGGCTGTGGCTGTCATCTTAGTGGTCCTAGGAGTTCTGACCATCGGGTCCATATTTTTCACCTGGAGACTATACAAGGAAAGGTCCAGGCGGAGGAAGGATGAATTCAGCTCTACAGGTAAGTCATAGGATCCAGGCTGCTTGTCAGGAGTGCGTCTGAGTGAGGTTGGATCCAAGTCCTGTAGGATAGCTGCCAGGGGAAGATATGGACTCTGGAACTCTGAAAGTCAGAGGGGATTCTAGGGCTCCTGGAGTCACTGATACTCAATCTGAGCAAGGACAGAGGTTTGGGTGCAGGAGGAATCAGAACCAGTTCTAACAGGTATTAGACCTGAAGTTTGCTCACTACCCACCCTGAGGCTCTATCCTCACTTTTACTTCGGTTTCCCAGTAACGACTACAGATACGATCCAAGCCAATAGGAACTTCCTGCATATTACTTAGAAAACAGCACAATTCTTGTTCTTCACCATTGATCATGTTTCAGTAATGGAGTAGTCATGATGTAACAGCTACTCCTTTGTGTGCCTCGTCATGTCCACTATAGAAGGTCATTCATTATTTCTGTTTGTTTTCCAGAGAAACTCCTGAAAGAGCTCAGTAAGTTCTGTCTCCTTGTCATTATTTCACCCTCAAGATTCTCCCTCTCTCGCTCTCTCTCGCTCTCGCTCTCTCCTATAAAACCTTTCAGTGACTGTCTCTCTCTCTGTCTCATTGCAGAGTGGAAGAAAGCTACACTGCATGCAGGTCAGTGACTCTCAACCTCTCAAGGGCTCCGAGACTCCAACCCCCAGGGCCTCAAAGTTCTACAATAGTTGGAAACAAAAGCACCAACACCTTTTAGGGATGAGGATAGAGAGGGGGAAAGGTGGCAAATAGCATCAACTTTTCCTTGAGGCACACGGTGGCCTGGGAGATGGATAGGAGACAAGCCCCTCTGGCCAGGGTGTTAGGCCCTGGGGACAGTCAGCTTGTACATCACCTGTAGCTGTCGAGGGAAGAGGGGAACAGAGACAGCTGAGCAGGTTGAACAGTTCAGCTCTCCTTGGAGGAGACCTACCAGCTCCTATCTCTTTGGAGAAGGGAGGACAGGGCTTTCAGCCTCTCACATTCACGCCTGCTCAGACTCACTTCCTCTCCGTGTCTAGTTGATGTGACTCTGGACCCGGACACCGCCCACCCCCACCTCTTTCTGCACGAGGATTCCAAGTCTGTGCGGCTGGAAGATGAACGTCAGAAACTGCCCGAGAAGCCAGAGAGATTTGACTCCTGGCCTTGCGTGTTGGGGCGGGAGGCCTTCACCTCCGGGAGGCATTACTGGGAGGTGGAGGTGGGGGATAGGACCGACTGGGCCATCGGGGTCTGCAGGGAGGACGTGATGAAGAAAGGATTTGACCCCATGACTCCCAAGAATGGGTTCTGGGCTGTGGAGCTGTATGGAAACGGGTACTGGGCCCTCACCCCCCTGCGCACCCCTCTCCCCCTGGCAGGACCGCCCCGTCGGGTTGGGATTTTCCTGGACTATGACTCAGGAGACGTTGCCTTCTACAACATGATGGACGGGTCCCACATCTACACGTTCTCCAAGGCCTCTTTCTCTGGCCCCCTCCGACCCTTCTTCTGCTTGTGGTCCTCTGGCAAAAAGCCCCTGACCATCTGCCCAGTCACGGATGGGCTGGAGGAAGTCACGGTAGAGGCTGATGCCAGGGACCCCTCCAAGGAGATCCCACTGTCCCCCTTGGGGGAGGATGCTGCCTCTGGGGACACAGACACATTTCATTCTAAACTCATCTGTACCCAGGCCAACCAAGGGGCACCTTAGGGATGAGCCCAGCTTAGCTGCTTCCCTTTGCTCTCACCCTTCTCTGCCACCCTCGCCCCTCAGGCTTCACCCAGCTCCGTGGCTTCCTGTTGGATAGGGATTAGTCTTGGGAAGGTTGTGTGGCTGCTGCTAGAGAATGTGGGGTGTGGGACCTTTCTAATCTGTTTCTGTACCAATAGTCAGGGTCCAGGGAAGTGACTCTTCAATGACATCTGTTCTCCTACCCCTGGAGGCCACATCCTAAAGGGAAGGACTTGAAATAAAAACAGACAGCTCAGGGATCGAGATGGGGTCAGGTTAGATGGTCATAGGGTGATGACAACCATCCTGGTGTCCAGAGGAGGGGTATGTGGAGGAACAGGCAAGCAGAAACCCCAAAGGATTCTTGGAACAGAAGACCCGAGGCTAACACCCCATCAAGGAACCTGGAGGGGACACTGGGATGGAGGAAAGTGAGGTGACCGTAGGCCAGGGATGACCACCTGGCCTGCCCCTACAGTGTCAGGGCCTGTATCTCAAATTCCTAAGCTTGTCCTACAGGGCGGAGGAAATGGGCCCTGCTGCTGTGGAGTCTGAGTGATTGGAGGGGGGAGTAGAGGAGAGACACCAGGAGGAGGGCCAGGGTGTCAGACAGGAGGTGGACAGGGAGGAGGATTTTAGACAGTTGTGTGCACAGCAGTGTCTCAGACCCCGTTCCTCTCCGCACTGACCTGCTGCTCCCTTGCCTGGGGGCCATTCCACCCTCACGCTGTGGGCCCCATCGTTTCTGCTTCCCCTCCTCCTTATGATCTGGGCTCTCTCCCGTTCAGAGGCAGTTCCAGGAATCGTCCCTCAGGGATATCACCACTTCATCAGCCACTATCTCAGCCTTGTGCCCCCTCAGCCATCATCCCAATGTCCTGTGTAACCCCTCACACACCCCTTCCCTGAGCATCAACTACTCCCTTTTTCCAAACCGTGGCCTGTGCGCTCTCTCCCCACACAGCCTCCCTCCCACGCCCTTCTCCTTGGGTCCCCGATTGCGATGTCCCTGCTCAGCACAGCGAGCCCGACTGCTCCTGTCTGTCTTCACATTTCCCTAATGCCCCAGGCTCCTCTGGTCAACAGGCTGCACGTTTGTCCACGCTCACATCTCCTACTCGGATTGTACTTTCCCTGCGTTCAGCATCAATGTCGCCCGTGGTCTTAACCTAATAAATAAGTCTGTCTGATTGCTGCACCTTCCTTTCTTTATTGCAACGAGTGGAACCAGAACAAAAACACAGGAAAGGCCCGGCCGGCATGGCTCAGTGGTTGAGCGGCAACCGATGAACCAGGAGGTCACGGTTCCTTTCCCCTTCAGGATACACACCCAGGTTGTGGGCTCGATCCCCTATAGGGGGCGTGCAGAGGCAGCGGATCGATGATTCTCTGTCATCACTGATGTTTCTATCTCTCTCTCCCTCTCCCTTGCTCTCTGACATCAATAAAAATCTATACTACACACACACACACACACACGCACCCCTGAGGAAAGAAGGCATGTTGCTCACTGAGCATTGTGGTTCTATTTACCAGGACCCATCGGGGCCTGACAGCAGTGGGTGGGCTCACCTGGCAGGCAGCCCCGTGGCTGCTGTCTCAGGAGAACCCAGGGACTCGCAAAAAGGCCGGGTGCCCACTGGCTGCCCGCCCTCAGCCCGTTTGGGTGCTGACTCCATGTTCACCACTAAAAAGGTGATTCTGGTGAACGTGAGTGAAGCCATGTCTTGGCATTTTAAAAGTACTTTTCCAGGAGGAGGAAACGTTTGGAAAACTTTTCATGGGAATGCCTTGGAATCGGGAAGCAAGCAAACAAACAAGCCTGGGTGACCTTAGGAAACCGCTGTTGCAGGTAGTTCAGCGAGACTCCCGCTTCCCCCTGCGTCACCCCAGGCAAGGACCAGGCACAGCCACCTCCAGAGGCTCTGACCAGCCAGCTCTGCCGCGCGAATGGATAGAGTGTGAGTCTCGAGTCCTCTCCTCGTCCTGCCTCAAACACTACTCCCCCCACACTGCCCACCGCCTGCCACCCACCCACACTGTATCGCTGGGAGAAGAACATGATTTATTCCTGCTTTAAAAGTATTCATTTGTGTTCAAATTATGCTTTTAGAAAGTCAAAGAAAGAAAACAACTAACTTTAAAAAAAATACTTGGGAACCTCAGGCAGTTGCTTTGCTGGTTTAATGTGTAATGCGTATCCTGAAATGTGTATGTGGAACCTCACCCAGAACAGACGGGGCTGCCACAGGAACCCCTTGCTGAGAGTAGAAAGAGAACCGGTTACAGATTTTAATCAGCGCCACACCCTCGCCCCTCACCCCACTTTCCTTTTCCCCTTCAAGGAAAACGGTCACCAGGCCCAGGACTGAGCAGGTGACAGGCTCTTAGGAAACACCTGTGTCCTTCCTTCCCCAGCCCTAGCCTCTGGCACGAAGCACCCAGAAGCCGACTTATCAGATGCACCTGGACCGCCCTTTCCGGTTGGCACAGGTGCCAGTGCCTGGGGGACATTGTCTTGCTAATTCTGGCTTTATTTCCAAATCTTCTAAAAGGGAAGACACATCGCCTTGCCAAATGCCTTGCCAAAGCCTGTCTTCAACACCTGGGGCAGAGTCAGGGATTCTGTGATTTCAGAAACCTCTCAGGTGTGATTACAGAAGTGGCTGTGGTGGAAACCCCGTGCCAAGTGCTCCCTTTGCCGGGTTTAGTAGACACAGAAACTACTCATCTCTCTCCCTCCCTCCCTCTCTCTCTCTCTCTCTCTCTTCATTGCAGTATAACATCCATTCAGAAAAGTCCGCCCATCTTCAGTGTGCAGCTTGATAAACTCAGAACAGGCAGCGAGACACCCCAGCCCCTTACACGTGTTACATATAAGCTGGATTTCAGTGGCTGCTATGAACGGAGGTGTTTGCAGCCTTCTCCACAGCACCTGTGTCCATCATTCCGTTCTAAAAACATTGCCTGCAGAGTGTGAAAGGGCGTTCGTGTGAAAGACGAGAGAATGATCAGAGGTTATATAGCTTGTAGTTTAAATGCGGTGACTTTGCCTTCTGCTTTCCCTGGTTCCTTTTGTACTTGATGAAAAAATACACGTGGAACAAAAATATAAAAACAGGAAGGATGGAAATTTTCTTCAAAAGAACAACAAATTCATCTTCGTGCTGTTTTTGTAAATAATAAGGAAGTCCATCCTCAGACCCGTGTAAAACAGTTTTGTGAAACCCCATAGAGAACATTTGCCCTTAGGATTTCACTTTGATCACCCATCCTCTTTTGAACTGGGGAAAGCCACACCCGGAAGGAAAAAGAAAAAAAGGCCCCGCTGGGATTCGAACCCAGGATCTCCTGTTTACTAGACAGGCGCTTTAACCAGCTAAGCCACGGAGCCAGCACGCCGGCTCGCGTCCAAATCGATGGGGAAAGAGAGAGATCTTTGATTTTATGGGGTGCATTTACTTATTTCTTCTCCTGCAGGGTCAGGCGCAACCCAAATGCTTCCCAAGACGCGAAAGATGAGCCTCGGCCTGCGAGGGCTCGGCCTGGACACCGGCAGACGGAAGAAACCGAAGAAACCGCGCAGCTGTGGGAACTGAGCCTCCCGGCGCGGGCGCGGGGACAGAGGGCCAGGGGCGGGCACCGGCCGCGTCCACGCGGAGACACGCCTCCTCCGGTCCCGGGACACTGACACCAAAACAGATCCAGCACCAAGAATAGGTCCAGCACCAAGAACAGGCCCGTTCGGGAGGCAAGCTACATGTTTTCTATCTCACGGCTTTTAATTAAAGTTCCAGTCATTCCTTACCGCAGGTCTTTCCGTAAATTTGGGTTCCACCTGCTGCTTGTAGCTTGTAATGTTAACTTACACAGTTCTAGAGCTGCACCTTAAAAACACAAGGCTGCCCAATGAAAACCTAGTCTCGGAAGGAAATAAAAGAGCGATCCCCGCTCCTCTGAAGCTACAGGAAGAGACACTTTCTTGTCCAAAGGATCTCTTGTGATAAGATGTCAAACTGAGAGCATTCACAAGAACCTTTACTCTCCATGGGGGCTTGTGTGAGTATTTGTGGCGGTTCCCAGCTTATCCTCTGCTTTGTAAAGTGAATCTGAACAAACAGCTGTAGTGAAACTCCGAACAGTTTACAAACTGTCGCCATAGCTGTGAAAGTCTCCTCCCAAATGAAGCCTGTGATTATGCGGGGCCGTCTTGCTTGATGACTGTTGTCATGGTGATAACACTGAAACATGTGTTTCTAAACTGTCCCAATATTTAAGGATTTCTCGGTCACACCATAAGGCACTTATTTCCGCCTACATACGTGACGGGCAGCATGACTCTGCCAGATGCTTTGTTTTTGTTAAAAGATTGAAAGTCGACGAACTCAACCCACAGGTGGATGGAAACTCCATGAAATAAGCACCTGTTTCTTTACTATGATAAGATGAGCAGCATATGGTCAGAGGCCTTGGAGCCGCGTCATGATCAGCAGCGCGGCCACCCTGATGGGCCGTGGCCGAGCGGCGGACGCTCAGGACCGCCCAGCCCACAGGATGCGGCTGGGGTTCCCTTTGGCCGGCGAAGCACGGACATGCGGGGCGTCGAGGGGGCTGTGCCACAGGCCGGGGGCCCGTCTTGGGAGAAGCTGGGACCTGGAGCCAGCACTTCCAACCGGGGTGCGAGCTCTATTTCCTCTCCGTTCTCAGGCTGACCACCCGGGCGGTGGAAGGGCCCTCAGGTTGGCTGTTCCATCACCTGAGGTCGCAGAAGGGGCAGGTTCCGGGGTCACAGACACGACCATGTTGTAAGGACACGTCGGGGTGCGGACAGCGCCGTTTCCATCCGCTGGGAGAGAAACCGAAAACTGGGTCGTCTGTGACTTGGAGGGAGAATGTGATTCTGACTGCGTAACAAGTGACAGCTGAAACTTGGCGTTTCCTTCCATTATGAGCACAGGCAACAGGTCGCAGCTGTGCGTCGGCAGCTTTGACTTGATCACTATGGCTATTTTTCAGATCAATTCAGGTGCTCCATCTATCAGATTATAACCCCCTGTCGGTGCGGGACAGGTACCTGGACCGTGTGCTCCCGGCAGGTGGTTGCCCTCAGAAGGGCCTGAGCGGGGAGGGATCAGACCCGGGGACCGCGCACCCCCGGCTTCCCCGGCCCCGCCGGCTGGTTTTGATGAAGACGAGCCGCCGCCCCTGCCTTCCGCGCGGGCCAGTGGCGCAATGGATAACGCGTCTGACTACGGATCAGAAGATTCCAGGTTCGACTCCTGGCTGGCTCGGTGGGCGCCGCTCCATTTTGCTTATCCCTCCGCCGACCACGGAGGAGCCGGAGGGGCTGGTGCAGGAGAAGTTCCCGCCGACGGC